AAGGTAGATAAATAATGCATTTTATGTTTTTCGGTACCTTTCAAAACCAGGTTTTCTGTCTGTGGTGTGTGTTGTGTGTGTGTGTGTGTGTGTGTGTGTGTGTGTGTGTGTGTGTGTGTGTGTGTGACATTTGATCTTTACTGGCCCTCTTGTTCTTGCAGAAAATCAGCAAAGCTGCCGAGAAGAGGATGATCATAATGGCCAGAAACAGACCCACATAAGGAAGCATACCTGCAGCAGCTTAAAAGAACACATTTGTTTTACTCAGAGAGTCTAATGATTTTTTTCATTATCTACTCGGATTGACTCGCAATGTCTCGCCAAAATTTGACTCAGATTGACTGGTTTTCCATGACAGTCAAGTACTGCCTAATGTGCGAGGTCATTGTTATAGCAACGTGGCGCGAGCAGGCCATGATGTAATTATGCAACATGAAGCAACACTGATGTCGACACACCTGCTGCTTGGTCTGTGGCTTTTCGCCAGAGTCGGGGGACCATGGCATCATTTTTTGTAGCCATTTCCCTCAATGTCGGGTTTCAAAAATGGTGGTTTTGATTTTTGTGAACAAGGTGCTATCATAACTCATCGAGTGATGCCAAGTTCGGATCTCTTGGAAAACCGGCCGAGCAGGTACTGTTTTAGTGCCTGGTACCTGAACCGTAACAAGTCTGTGCAGGTACTAATGGAAAAGGGTCTGAATAACCGAGATCATATCTACATCAGTATATTACATATTAAACATAAAATGTATAATGTACCTGAACTTGCAGGCGATCTCTGGGGCTGTTTTGAGGTTTCGGGGACACTGATGAAACTCCAGCACTTTCTGAACTGAAGACTGAAGTCTCTGTTGTTGGTATTGCTTTTGTTGTTTTTGTTGTTTTTGTTGTTGATGTTGTTGTTGTTGCTGTTTCTGTTTTTGTTGTTGAGCCTGATGACAGAAATGTTAAAGTTGAAGTATACAAACAACAATCTTATATAATTAAATAATTATGCTTAAAGCAGATTCAGCGTTCGCATGTAAGGTTTAGTTTGTGGTCATCAGTGGAACTTATAAAAACTAAATTTTAAGTTTATGTAAAGCAATGACATAAAAAAATAAATTTTTTGCTGGAACTCACCTTCTGTGACTAGAATGTAAAACTCATGGCTCAGATTACGACGCCAGGTTTTACTCAAGCACATGTATGGTCCTGTGTCCGACTTTTTCAGCTGACCGATGCTCACATACAGAATATCAGATGACAGAACACTTCTTTTTACATACTGAATGCTGTATCTGTCATTTTTAGCTGCGTTCTTTGTTGTTTCAATTAGGATATTTCTTTTTTCACATTTTCCCTTACAGAAGAACTTCTCGGTTCCAGAGTAAGAAAATTTGCATTCAACTCTGATGTTTTCTCCTTCCGTTCTTCTATAGGTGGGAATTCCTGCATTGACTTGACCAGAGTTTCCATCGTGCAGTGCTGTAGAAATGATGAACAGTCAATAGTTAATATGTACCCTGTAATATGTTATGAATAATACATTTTTGTACATTTAATTTAATTGAATTTATTCCCTTTTATTCACTTCATGTGAACGGTCATAAATGTTTAGTTGAATTCACTAAATTCTTACTTTACTTGCAAAGTAAAGTAATTTTACAAACAGCAAATGTCATGTTTTTTCCTAATATCTCCACAAATCATCAGCTGAAGAAGACTCAGAGTTGAAGTTTTGTGTAAAAGCTAGAATATCATCTTGAGTTTTACTTGCTTCAGAATCCATCTTCGTCCGCTTTTCTGACCTCCGCACGTAAAATGAAGATGTGTTGCTGAACATTCAGAGACTTCAGGATATCAACACTCACGCAGTGTTGTTCCTTTTATGTTTCATATTTAACAAGTATGAAAAAAAATAACATTGCTGTTGCATCATCTTCAAGCAAAGAATGGTTAAACATAATTTACCACCAAACTGATCCACCTTCGTGTTCCCCTTGCCAAATGCTCCTCAATCAAAGATTTCCTCACAAACAGACCTCAGTCAGTCAGACTGCCTCCAACTCTTCGCCCAACTGTCACTCAGCATCAAGTCTCCGCAGGGCTGCATTCTCAGCCCCCTAATTTACTCCATGTACACACATAATTGTGCATCAATCCAACCAATGAACATCATCTTCAAGTATGCCGATGACACCACCATGAACAGGCTCCTCTCTAATGGAGATTAGACAGCATACAGGGTGGAGGTAGAGAATGATTCCTGCTGAGGCTCAGAAAATAACCTGAAGCTGAACATCCTTAAAACAAAAGAACTCATAATGGACTTCAGGAGGCACAGACAGGTCCACTCCTTCATTATAAATGGAGTGGTGGAATCTGTCTCCCCTCGTTTCTGGACCCACATTTCCACTGATCTCACCTGGACCCACAACACCAGCGTTCAGGTGAAGAAGGCCCAACAGTGGCTGCACTTTCTTTGTGTCCACACACACACACACACACACACACACACACCAGACACACACAAGACAACACCCACAACCCGAAATAGAATAACATACAAACGTTAAGACCAGTTTCCCTTTTTCCTTCCTTTGTGTTGCAAAGCGGTGAGGTTGAAACAACAGTGTGTACTTGTCAACTATAAATACATCCTTAAAATAAAATAAATAAAAAACAAGTGTATGCAGATATTTGGCTGTATATTCAACAACAATACAAGAAAATCAGGATAATTTCTTAAAAAAAACCTGAAATTATTGAAAAACAAAATAAACTGAAGTCGTGTTTAAATAAAAATGGGGAAGTTAAGTTGTACTTTCAGAGGCACTTACACCTCTGAACATGTTTAACCACAAACACTCTGACAAAGAAACACTGTTAAACTTTACAATTGTTCATCAAAGGTGCAAAACAGCTCCAACAGTCCAAATGTTAAGCCCAGCTTTTTTAGTTTTCCCAGTGTGTTGCAAAACAGTGATACTGTAAACTGTCGGTTCCCCATAAAAAATCTCAACTATAACACTACTCCTTTAAAAAAAAGTATATACGTGGAAATTTTATTAAATATTGAAGTGCAATGCAAAAAAATCTGGAGAATTTTTGGAAAAAAAAAAAGATAACCTTAGGTAATAAAAAATGGAGCCATGCTTAAAAAAGGTTCCTGCATGGTTTATATTTGGGGAAGTTACCTCATATTTTTAACAAACGTCATGTTCCGATAAACATATTTAACCACATAAAGCAATGATATGCAAAAAGGAGTAATAATACAAAAATTTACTCACTGAGAAAAATGAAACAGACCGCAGTGCCACATACTGTCTTCATATTGCTTGTCTTACAAACCAGGAACTTCTCACTTCTCTTAATGATGGACTCCCTCCCCCACACACATCATACAGCTCTACACTTCTCCCCTTTGCTTTAACTTCTTGAACTGGATTCTGTGTTGGTTTAGCTTTTGTGTCTCATCACTTCTAAAGCTACGTTAGGCTGGATTTACATCCTTGGAGTCTAAACAAAGCCGCAAGCCAGATGGCTAGCAAGCTCAACACAAGAACGTGACACATTGCTGTAGAAATAATGATGGATGGATATGAATAAAAAAAATAATCAAAAGAGAAAGTCACAAAGATTATGAATTCAATCTTTTTGCTCACTGAAGATATTCATTTACAACGAATATTTAATAAAGAATATGTAAAAAAGAATTTAGACGCAAAGGACAAAAATAATGAATTGAAATAGAAAGAAAGCCAGCAAAAATAAAGATTAAGTAAAGACTAGAAAATTGGAATACAATTGAGTATTTAGATATATTCATATTTAAAATAGTTTTATTTTTTTCAGTTGCGGTGTCGGTGGTCTTCAACTGTCTGAGAGCAAGGAGTAAAATAAAACAGAATTCAAAATGAAATGCAGAAGAACATGAGATGACAGATGGCTCAACCTTTAGCTGAGTCATCAGCTTCCTGTTTTAAAGAAGGACACCTCTCAATACATTCCAGAAGTTCACAAAAACAAAAAGTAAATAAATACATAAAATTGTTTGTAACCAGTGGGGGGATTAAAATAAGCATAGTCATTAGGGAAAGAGGATATTTTAAAATGTGTACTGGTAAACTTTACACTCATTAATATCCATTTGTCTTTACTGGCCCTCTTGTTCTTGCAGAAAATCAGCAAAGCTGCCGAGAAGAGGATGATCATAATGGCCAGAAACAGACCCACATAAGGAAGCATACCTGCAGCAGCTTAAAAGAACACATTTGTTTTACTCAGAGAGTCTAATGATTTTTTTCATTATCTACTCGGATTGACTCGCAATGTCTCGCCAAAATTTGACTCAGATTGACTGGTTTTCCATGACAGTCAAGTACTGCCTAATGTGCGAGGTCATTGTTATAGCAACGTGGCGCGAGCAGGCCATGATGTAATTATGCAACATGAAGCAACACTGATGTCGACACACCTGCTGCTTGGTCTGTGGCTTTTCGCCAGAGTCGGGGGACCATGGCATCATTTTTTGTAGCCATTTCCCTCAATGTCGGGTTTCAAAAATGGTGGTTTTGATTTTTGTGAACAAGGTGCTATCATAACTCATCGAGTGATGCCAAGTTCGGATCTCTTGGAAACCCGGCCGAGCAGGTACTGTTTTAGTGCCTGGTACCTGAACCGTAACAAGTCTGTGCAGGTACTAATGGAAAAGGGTCTGAATAACCGAGATCATATCTACATCAGTATATTACATATTAAACATAAAATGTATAATGTACCTGAACTTGCAGGCGATCTCTGGGGCTGTTTTGAGGTTTCAGGGGACACTGATGAAACTCCAGCACTTTCTGAACTGAAGACTGAAGTCTCTGTTGTTGGTATTGTTTTTGTTGTTTTTGTTGTTTTTGTTGTTGATGTTGTTGTTGTTGCTGTTTCTGTTTTTGTTGTTGAGCCTGATGACAGAAATGTTAAAGTTGAATTATACAAACAACATGAACAATGAAACAATGAGATTAAATCTTAAAAATTATGCTTAAAGCAGATTCAGTGTTTGCATGTAAGGTTTAGTTTGTGGTCATTAGTGGAACTTATAAAAACTAAATTTTAAGTTTATGTAAAGCAATGACATAAAAAAAAAAATTTTTGCTGGAACTCACCTTCTGTGACAAGAATGTAAAACTCATGGCTCAGATCACCAAGCCAGGTTTTACTCAAACACATGTATGGTCCTGTGTCCGACTTTTTCAGCTGACCGATGCTCACATACAGAATATCAGATGACAGAACACTTCTTTCTACATACTGAATGCTGTATCTGTCATTTTTAGCTGCGTTCTTTGTTGTTGCAATTAGGATATTTCTTTTTTCACATTTTCCCTTACAGAAGAACTTCTTGGTTCCAGAGTAAGAAAATTTGCATTCAACTCTGATGTTTTCTCCTTCCGTTCTTCTATAGGTGGGAATTCCTGTATTGACTTGACCAGAGTTTCCATCGTGCAGTGCTGTAGAAATGATGAACAGTCAATAGTTAATATGTACCCTGTAATATGTTATGAATAATACATTTTTGTACATTTAATTTAATTGAATTTATTCACTTTTATTCACTTCATGTGAACGATCATAAATGTTTAGTTGAATTCACTAAATTCTTACTTTACTTGCAAAGTAAAGTAATTTTACAAACAGCAAATGTCATGTTTTTTCCTAATATCTCCACAAATCATCAGCTGAAGAAGACTCAGAGTTGAAGTTTTGTGTAAAAGCTAGAATATCATCTTGAGTTTTACTTGCTTCAGAATCCATCTTCGTCCGCTTTTCTGACCTCCGCACGTAAAATGAAGATGTGTTGCTGAACATTCAGAGACTTCAGGATATCAACACTCACGCAGTGTTGTTCCTTTTATGTTTCATATTTAACAAGTATGAAAAAAA